TAAACACTATCTCTTTACATTTATAGGATATCCAGTGATTAATGGGAAATACTTGGGAAGCAGACATCAAGAGGTACAAAAAAGCTCATTTAGACTATGGTCCGATTCCACAAAGAAAATTTATGCCTTGAGTTTTTTTTAAGTCAGATTTTTTTTTATTTTCAATAGAAGACAATAACTAATCAAACATTTAATTTATGTACCTATCAATTACTTCATGATAAACTAGACAAATGAAAGAATATATCTTGTTAAAACCACTACAAAAGGGGTTTTTATCAACTTCTGACTGAACTACACTATTTAGAAAACCTTCCTAGTTTGATAAGCTTTAAATTCATAATAAGTACTATTTCAATTAAGTAACTGTATTATCAGAAAAAATAATTACAATAAATGATCACACAGTTTTTATCTTTTTTTTTTTAATCTGAGATATTTTGTATTTAATTAAGTACTGAAATGCACTTTTAATTTGTAAAAAAAAATGCAGCTTTTTCAAAAATTAATTACCTAAAGTGAATGAACAATACTTTTTAAGGAATCCATCCCTATTGTTATAAGTGATAAAATAAATATTTCTCAACCTTAATATATATGTTTTATATATTATATATATATATAAAGTCAACTTCAATAAATAAAAATGTTTTTTTGAAAATTGTTAAACCCTTTGTTCGGTTTCAATTTTTTTTTTTTTTTTTTTTTTTTAATGAATTTTAACAGTAAGGAAAGGAGCTATTACCTTAAATTATTATTGATGTCCTCTTGGTAATAAAAGCTACATTAAACCATTTGGGAATTGCAGGAAGGAAAGATTATTTCTACAGGAGAGTCTATTTGTTTGAAGAAGCAACATTTACCATGAATGGGATTAACATTAACATTTGTGAAGAATGAAACCATCGTGGCAATCATTTGAATTATTTTCATGTAAATGTAAATACCAGAATTAGGATAGTATCTAAAATTGAGATCTTTCTAGAAAGCACTGGTGCTCTTTATACACACATCAAAAAAAGTTTTGGATCGCCCCTCTTTTTACTATACCTAGTTCTGCCATAAATACTGTTACAAAAGTTTAACTTTGTTTACATCCTTGGGTATAATTTAGATAATCTTTATCTCTATCAGGTTATTTTCTTTACCTTTCAGGATAATAATCTCAATTACTTTGTATTTTTCTTACGCTCAGTTAACATGGAGTGGAGTGATAAAGAAAACCGAATAACTGTGATCGCCTTACACAAAGTTGGAAAATGTAGTTCTGAGATTTTCAACACTTTGAAACCTTTGGGTATCAGCCGTATGTTCATGTCCCACACTATAAATAGATATAATGAGACCCTATCTGTATGTGACAGACCTTGACCCCACTTTGTGAGAATGGCGAATACAGTGAGAGCAGTGGCTGCTGGAATCAGAAGAAATCCCATTCAAAAACAAATCATTTCTCAGGAAATGGGAATCTCTGTCAGATCAATGTCTCCCATAATAAAAAGTGACCTTAAGATGGGTGCATTTCGAAGAATGACAGCACAAAGGCTAACCATTCCCTTAAAAAAAATTAAGAGTGGATAGATATTCCTTACTCCGCAAAGTATTCCTTACATCAATGGTCTTCATCGAAAGATTTTATTTAGCGATGAGAAAATTTTTATAATTGAAGAAAAATTTAATTGTCAAAAAGATCGTGTGTACGCACACAGCTCTAAAGAAGTCATTGGAAGAGTGGAAAGAGGTAATCACCCTTCCTCAGTGATAGTTTGGTGTGGAGTTTGCTTTGATGGCACCACAAAGCTCCATTTTTTTGAAAAAGGAGTTAAAACAGCCGCTAAAAACTAACAGGGCGATATTTTGGAACCTGTTGACAAGCCTCTGAATGATATGCTGTTTGCTGAAAGTCATTGGGTTTTCCAGCAGGATTCTGCTACAGCTCAACTCAGCAGTGGCTGTAAAAGAACATTCCAGAGTTCATCTGTGCCTCGGATTGGCCCTCAGGAAGTCCTCATCTCAACCCACTAGTTTATCAGCTTTGGCCCGAACTGTAGAGGATGGCATGCCACAGAACTGACCCTAACTTGGAAAGCCTCAATTGCTGGTCCGAGCAGGTGAGCGCTTTTCTCAAGAAGTGCTGCGTGCCGCTATTGATAACTGGCCGCGGAGATTAGATGCTTTTGTCGAAGGGAAAAGGAGGACATTTTGAGAAATTTCTTTTTTGTTTTACTCTCTATAGATATACATTTTATTTTCTAATAGTTTTGAAATAATTAATTTTTCTACTGAAATCTGTATATATTTCCTTGTAAGAATATTTATGACAGGACCAAGTAAACTAAAAAGCAAGAATTAAAAGAGTTGAATGACATAAAGTATATCTAATACTTATTCTATTATGTTTTGATAAAATAATCTTCATTTTTTTTATCTCTCAAAAATATTTATGTCCTCCTACAAGAAAAAAGCTGAAAAAAAATCTTTTCTTTGAATTTTGCAGATTAATATTCTTATGGGAAATTCAGTCAATGTTGGGACTTCTCTGTTGAAGCATATCCCAGAGATCTCAATGGAGTTCATGTGAAATAAGTGATCATCTCATTCTGTCAATACCTGACCCTTCAAGATGCTCTTGGATTATTTTTGGCTGATATGGACATGTACTATCATCAAACAAGAGAAAATTTGAACATAATTTATTGCCATAAATTATAAGAGTTCCAGGATATATCTCTGATACACTTAAGCATTTACGGCACGGTATGGACATAAGTTGTTTTGGTGTAGGGCATAATGCCAGTCCAAAACATAACTCAGCCTAGATTATAGAATGTCTCAATTAACTTTGTCTGTTGCCACAAGATATGTCTCAAATAAGAAATATTTTGTAGCTGGAAATCTATGTGCAGTGAGAACCCCCAACTAAAATGTATTAAAAACATAGTAAAGGCCAACATCAAACCGTCCTACCCGCAGAGAAGAGGTTGTCTTAACCAGACTGAGAATAGGCCAAACAAATCTGACCCACTCACATCTCATTAGTAAATAGCCACTACCAAAATGCCAATATTGTAATAGTACACTTACAGTAAACCACATTTTTCAAGAATGTTCTTTCTATATCTCAAATTTAACCAGTTTCAGACTCATACCCCCCAATTTCAAACATCCTTAATGACGAAGACACAGTACAGTTAGTATTGAATTTTTTAAAATTTAATAATTTGTTTAAAAAAATTTAAAATCTAAATACCTACAGTTCAGCGAAAAACAAAACTAAATGCAGGCATTGACGATCTTGATGTTTTACGCCTAAATAAACCACAATAAACGACAACAACTTTGCCCGCTAACTATCCCTCCAAACTTTAATCCAGTTGTCTGGTATGAGCCCAAGGTGTGTTTCATTTAAGATTTCTTCTGGCAAAAACGTCAGCATCTTGAGGATCATTTCATAGTTAGGTCACTCATTATTTTCCTAACATTATACTGCAACTGATAGCGCAAGTCCTCAGCTGTTGGGTTTGGATTCTTTTTGAAACTTGGGATAATAATGACAGAACCAGGAATAAAAATGTATTCCGTTCCCTTACATCACTTTACACCACCATTTAACCATTGAGTGACTTTTTGTGCCTGTCAACAATCATTTCTCCCTCAGAGCTCGAAATTTGTAGCATTTTCATGGTGCTAGTATGTTTCTGTTCACCATTAACAAACTCACATTAAGAACAGTTAATTTCAACTTGAGATAAAAGCTAAACTGGATGGTTACAACTTTTGTCAAAAATTTTCTTGCATTGGTTCCTAAAACAGTGTGAATCCAAAAACTTAAGAATTCTTTCTTTATTACTTTGTCCGATATATTGTGGTACCTATGCTATAGTAAACTGTTATTTGGAAAAGGAGTAATGAAAAACATTTTATGATGTACGTATATTGATTTACACAGACAAAATTAACATTAGCATGACAAATGTAATTAATGACCTCCCTCGATAAAATACCATTTTTTGCACATTCAAAATATGCAGCAATTGACATCATTTTTTAAAATTTTATTTTGGTTCAGGTTTGAAGAAAACGGTAGAATAAATTGTGACAAAGAGTGAATGATTTTTATCTTCACAGGATTCAACAAGTTCTAGAAATTTAAAATTTATAAGATTTAAAATAATCTTTCGACTGTAGTTTTTGGTCTATATAATATAATCTAGAATTATTCATTTTACAATTTACACTTCATTTATAATTATAAAATTGTGGCTTAGTACAAATCATAGTTTTTATTAGTAAATTCTAATTTTATCTAAATCCTAGATCAAAATATTTCAACCCCAAAAAATTGGAATTAAACTAAATTAGAACCAGCTGATACCCATCACACCGATAAATCTGTCTTGTTGAATTTGAATAAGCAATCAAGAAATCCAATACAATTCCAAAAATTTAATTTTCATGATAATTTTATGTTGTTTCAGAACAAAGTAAACTTAAAACCGATGGTTCACAAGACTCTTGTATCAGGATTTCCAATACATGGAGATAGACTGTTGTTATAACTGATAAACTTACACTGATGTTCTCGCTGGTATTCGTTAAATTTTAATAGAATTCTAAATGGAGAGTAGCTTTGATTATCTTCGTGTTACTTCTTTAAATTTTTGTTTTAAATATAAAATCCAATTTCCATCAATTTTGATATATACCAACGAATCTTTTTTAATAGCATTCATTAACTTTTTGTTGAATATAAAATATTGATGTAATCACTACAATATTTTCTCTTTACTTAATAAGTAACAATTGGATTTATAATAAAAACCATTTCCATCAATGAGAATTAACATCACTGCAGAAACTGGTAAATAGAATAAAAATACAAAATGAATTAAACTAAGAATTTATTTTTAAACAAATAATAATCAACAAGGTAAAGTAAAAACTTCTGTATTTAGAAATATTAAGTACATTATATAATATTAATTTATTACATTTAAAAATCATGACATTTTATTAGTAATTACAAGCTGCAGATTGCTGAGTTGCGATGCCATTCTGTCAATAGCCATAAAACGTGAACTATTATCAGTTTCCTCACTGAGTGCAAGAACTTGGTTTACTTGGTCTATTTTACCATGAACTGATTTATCCAGGATGCAAGATACCAAAAGACTTTCAACATCAGCAACATCAATATTAAGTTCCTTTGATATAAAAGGAATATGTAACCTTGTGTAAGGCTTTATTAATTTAATGAGAACCTGTGTTCTAATATTTCTCAGAAGATCTTCAATATGTTCTTTAATAAAAGGATCATCCATAATATTCTTCCTATGATTTCGAAGTATTTGCTCAAATTCATTTATGTCATTATTCTGATAAGAGGAAACCAAATTAGTCATTGCTAATATTTCTGGATCATTTTTGTAAGGTATAGCTTCTTGTGAATCAAATGGATTTATGCCTGATTTCATAAGCATATTAGCCAAAACAAGATATTTCAAACAAGTAGTTCTTCTTGGACTACCAGATTCATCATAATTTTTAAAGGCTTCAAAGAAATCAGTGTGAGCTTTTTCATATTCACCCTCTCGAAGATGCATTTTTCCACCACATTCTCTAATCACACCCATAATCAATGGATGAGGTATAGCAGACTTAATATGCAAGGATTGTTCATAAAGAGCTTTTAACTTCTTGTTATTCTTTTGAGCAGTATACATCTGAATTTCAAGGGCATATATTTCTAATAATTGGGTACCCTTCTTTAAGTCATCTTCACCATCATCTGTTTTACAAGACTGATGAAGTTGCTTGATTATTTTAGCAAGTTTGTTATAATCCCCAATGTCATAATACAATTTCCCTAACTTTGTATTAGTTTTGAACCATAATCGGTCATTTTTGGCATCTTTAAGAGCTTCTAAAGTTGCTTCATAAAAGTTCTGCAAAAGGTCCATGTTTTTCGAGGTTGATATGTAGTCTAAAATAGAATTTATAGATTTCTCACTGTGGTTTCTTGTTACAGCACTTTTTATATAAGTTAAAAGAAGCAAATATTTTGTCATCATTTCTTCAAATTCATTAAGCTTAAAAAAAATCTTAATCATTTGCTTTAAAGCCTTAAAACCCCATTCACCCTTTTCACCAGATTCTAGTTCCAATACTTTTTGAAATGAATCAAGAGCATGTTTAGGATCATCCTCTTTAAGGGCTTTTGAGTTGTAATATTGGTTTTCCAAATTCACATCAGGTTCAGAATTACTATCTTCTGAATACTCTAATCCATAATCTTCTTCTTCACACATATAATCATCATCAACATCTGATGCAAGCATGCTGAACAATGACTACTATTGATTAACAAATATTAATACTATACATGAAACTTACACTAATGAGTGAAGAAAACTGTTGACCTAATGCAACTTATGTTAAAATGAGTAATTAATTATGTTTCAATCAGTTGTGACAACATTTAAAAGCTCTTATAATTTGTTTTGTTTTTTCCATAAATATCTACTCCCACAATATACAGACTAATACAGCTGAGTACCTGCTGAAGAAAATAAGTCCAGTATTGTTAGCATTAATCACCTAGTTATAGGATTTAACCAGGACTTCTTATCAACCACTACAATTTTTCGATAAACGAAGGGTTAGACCATAGAGATACATATGACGGTCGCATACCCAGTCATCCAAATAATTAGTTTGTACCACCTTTTTTAAAATTTATTTTACAGAGGAAAATATACTTTCTTAAAATATTACCGTTGAAGATATATTAAAGCTTTTACTTACAGCATTACAAAAATATTTAAGAGGCTGCGAAGGAATTGGGGGCGTGGCCAACCGCAGTCATAAATCATTCGGAAAGGGTTGTCAATCTATAGGTAATAATAATGATATAATATAATAATAATATTCACCAGGGTAATGGTGGAGGGGGCCTATTCCGGCAAGTGGGCCGTATGGTCTATATTGTCAACCCCTGTCGGTTATCTTTAGGTTGCCGCAGCGCAGACTTGCCAGAGTGGGAATGTCAAGATTCATTTCCCGAGACCACCGAGAAATGTAAACTAACTCGACCTAGGCGGGAATCGAATCCACGCCGTTCATAACTGCGAACTCTGAGACCAATGGTCTACGTCCCAACTTACTCGGATATCCCGTTTTCAATCTTCAGGGTATTTGATAGATTGATGTAAGGTACCATTTCCAACAGTTGGTTAGTGGTAAAAGTACTCAGTCTCTCATGATTAAAATAAAAAGAACTTTCCTTTCAAAGCTCAGAAAGTATCAGCTGATATCAAAAGGCAACAGAACGTTAAGTGGTTTTAATATTTCATTTAATATTCACAGAAGTTATGTGAATCTTCTAATTCTCTTAAGTTCTTTGTAACATTTCTTGTATATATGTACCTTTTCTTATTTCCCAACCAGACTATGTTATTTATAATCGAATAATCCTAAAAACAAAGCAATGAATATATTCAATAACTCCTTTTTTTCCAAATAACTTTTCCTTTGTCATTACTAATTACCAGGTCTCAATTATGAATTTTAGTATATTATATCTGCAAATAAACATTTGATTAAATTAATAAAAAAAAGTATTATTTAATTCAGTTTATAATTTAACAATAGTAATTTACCAATTTAACGTTAGTTTACATGTTAACAGTTTATAACCTTCTCTCTCAAATCCGGCGTTTGAGATATGCTTAGTTTCACCGTGAATGCGTTTATATTTTTAGATAATTCTATTTTCAATTTTAAGACGATTTATTAAATACACCTGTAAGTAATTTACATTGTACTTTGTATAGGCACTCTTTTGTTACTGTAACAAATTGATTTTTCAGCAGCGGTGTTGAGACTTCGGCGATGTCATATATTTCAGTCAGAGGAAACCTTGGAGGAACATATTCTCAAGTTGAAGGATTGAGTCCAAGAGAAGCAGATCGTTTACAGACTCTGCTTAGACGAGGACCCAAAACGGAATATCATAACGAAGTTAGTTTCTTTGCACCAGTGATAAACCTGATTAATCAATTGGAGTTCACCTTTGGATACGAAGTCGTTTCTTGTACAAATACTGTTACTTCAGGTCCTAGAGGTGAAGATGTTACCATGTGGACTATGTTCCGGCCAGGATATGGTGATAGATAACTGATAAACTTGAAGAAGAGAACTGTTAGTTTATTTTGGTAGGTTAACCACCTTAATTAATTGAAGTGATTAGATCTATAACTTAATTTAAAAATAAGTTCACAGGAGATTTAAGAGAAAATATATTATTATGATTGCTCTATTTAAACTAGGCAATCTCCTGATTTTGAACCCATTTTGATGCTGGATTATGTTTCACTGGGTCATTACAGCTTGGCTAGTTTAATGCGTTGAGAACTTTTGTAAAATGTAATGAAATAAAAAGAAAAATGGATAGAGCTGGTTATAATATAAGTGAAATATCTATATCTGATTATTTGCTAAATTTTGTATTCTTATAAAGTTTCTGACTGCACATATAGAGTTTTATATTAATGTTACGAGGAGTACTTAAGCTTTTTTTTACCACATGATCATTGAGTTATTTTTCACAATTTAACTTATTATATTAAATAATATACATCCATTATTAGTATTTAGTTTTTAAGCTTTGTATTGATAAAAGTTATTTGGAGGCTGTAGGATTCAAGTCCATTTGATTCTAACGTCTTCAGCTAAGTGCAGATACCACTTGAATTCTGGTGTGTCATAACAAACTAACAGAATGAATCTCAACTCTACCAATTTAAATTAAATTAGTTGATATCTGTTGGATGGTCCATTCTTCCTCTCTCCTTTAAATTGGTATAAAGGTTATCTCACCAAGAAAACAACAGTATTTTACAAGGCATAAGAAAAATCAGTGAAATATTTTAAGTTTTAAACAAGTTAATATTTCAATAGATGCTGTACGTAACGTTCTGAATCCCAATTGTTAACTTTAAATTAGGTTATTCATTAAGGTAGTGAAATTTCGTCCAAGACCTCCTTTTCTTATACTATATTTGACTTACCAACTTTTCTGATGAATTCTTTGAAATATAGATGCAAGTTGTTATCTCTTATTTGATTTGGTTCCATTTTGTTTTTGTTTACATCCTTTTAAATCTTGAAATTGAGCTGCTTATAAAATTAGTAAATTATGTAAGATTACTATAAAATTAGTTTTATTTTGTTAGGAAGGAGCAAAATATTTCATTATACCGTTTATTATAATTTGACTATTCATATAATTTTGTTTTTTAATTTCTCTGTTGTATTTATGATTAGAATATATTATTAAAGTATCCAAAGAGAATCATACATAAATTTCTCATACAGTACTAATTAGTGATATTCAAAGTTGGTTAAATAATAATAAATTGAAATGTAAACTCACTTTCAATTTTGTTGTTGCCATATTAAAAACTGTGTTTTGCTGTATTTTGTTTATGTCTATCATTTTCACAGTTGTGTGACTTCTTATTGAATTCGAAACATACTTAAATCGTAATATGCCATACCTAGGCATAAGAGGAAACCTTGGTATTGCTAACACCAGAGTATATGGCCTTACAACTGGAGAGGTACGTTTGACTAATTTAGAAATATATGTAATTATCCTGTACAATGTTTCAGCTAACAGTTTTTTTTTTTTAATTATATGTATAAATAAATGTATTGTCTAATCTCATCCATTCCTCACAAGTTTAGTGCCAAGTCTAATACTAAATTCATTAACTGTATATTCTTATATTTTTTATTTTTTCTATATTCTCTCTATTTTTTAAAGTTTTCTTTGTAGAGTATTTAATTATCTTTAAAATAAGCTTCTGGCATGTTCTAGGTATAAACATAATAAAAATAATTCATTACACTAATGAATTTTAAAAAATTAACAGGTTTTTATTGTAACATACACAAAGAATTCCTAAAAAAATTTAAAAGGGATAACAACTAAGTCCTTTACATCATCACATAATCACCAATCATGGTCCAATATAGATGATTTTTATTTGTAGGACTTAATTACTTTTCTAGAGATGATTCAGAATTTTTCAATTCATTTATAATGGATTTATGGGCCATTCACTTGGAATGGTATCATTGGTTTACCATTAGCTGTAAAAAGTTTCAATTCAAGATTTCAACAATGATGAAAATGAAGATACTTTTTGACTCTTAAATAAACATAAATATCAAAAAACGTAGGTAATAAGCCTACGATTGTAATCTTGAATTGCATCTTCAATATTACACTTTAATTTTTTTATATAAATGAATCAAAATATACAAAATAAAATTTGACTAATTGCATCACAGTGTCCTATTCTTATTATATTTGATCAGTAGTTAGAAAAATTAACACAAACAAAATATGCAGTTGCATAAAAATTGGGGCCTTGGCTATTATCCTTCCTCCCATTACCTAAAAAAGATAGTGACTAAGTAGGAATTGCAAAGATATCTCCCTTCTGTCAAGTACCTAAAAGATTTTGCCAGAAATAATTTTTAAGAATATTGTATCATATGCTGATTGAGAGACTGCTGAGTAATTACCAGGATGGCTTTAGGAGAGGCCCCTCCACCATAAACCAAATTTTCTCTCTAAGAATAATATAGAAAAAGAGTATTAGAGTGTCACACGCCATCTTATTGTCGGCTGAAATTAAGCTTATGATAGTGTCAACAGAGAGGAATTCCACTAGAACTAGGTATAACCAGGAAGCTGACAATAGCTGGTGAAAACAACCATGAGAAGTATGAAATGCCTTCTGAGAATAGACCTAGATTTTTAGGCATAGAGATTAGAGACAGATGTTGGCTTAAGACAAGAGGATGCACTGGCTTGTATGTTATTTTATTTAGTGTAGAATAAATGGCAATCAGGGAATCCCTAATTCAGATTAGCGAGACCATCTGTGATTGACAATTTTAACTGCTAGGATATGTTCATGACATCAACATTAATAATGGATCTGTGTTCCCTACATAAGTCGACTTTGAGAGTGCAACCAGAAAATTAAATCTAGTTGTAAATGGAACCAAATACAAGTTAGCTGGTAGCACAGGAAACCTAGCTGAATGCTTTGAAGCTGATAGATACAAACCCGTTATTATCTACCAGGGATCTGAAGTAATCTCTATTAATGATTTCAGACAGAAGATATGTAGAAAAGTAGCATCAGTAAATAGGTGTTCATTTTTTCTCTCTTTGGCGTTAAGGAGCAGATTTATCTACATTCATACCAAATTAAGGCCCCCCCTGAAAACCAAAAAACTCTGATTCTGCCTATCCTTGCTT